TTTCTGACGACCACACCACATCTAAAACTTTATAGCTCCATTCTGTCAATATTATCTCGCTTTTCTGTTGCCAAGTTTTTGAAGTGCTGAGAACTTTTGAACTCCCTATACAGCGAGAAGAAGCAGTGAAGCGACTGAATACGGCTTTTTGAGATTGGGATATCGAGCAGACCGAGGCAAATATCTGTATACTCTTCGAGATCAACATCCAGTTCGGCTGTGGGTAACTGAATGAAGAGAAATTACTGAAAAAAAAGAAAATATTCTGAAGGGGAACTGACTTTAAGGATTGATAGGTTGAATTGATGATTGATGGGTAAAACATGAGCCATTCAAAGTCAATCAAAGCTCTCAGTTACTACATACTTACCTTCACTCCATCCAGGCAGTGCTCAAAGTTTGAATGAAATTCTTGCATGAGGCTTTCGATATCGGGCATTGGACCACGAAATTGTACGGTAGTTTGGGAAGGTCGAGTTCTATGCAATTCCTAGAAATGTTAATTTGATTGCTGGCTTTCATGACCTACCAGGGAGAAGAGACGGGGACAACAGGTAGAAAAGCTCAACAGAAAGACGATTTTATTGACAAATCGAAGCTTCATTTTCCATGATGCCCGTTGGTTCATAACACCTTCCTTTTATTATACTCGACTCCATCCATACTTATGGCAAATTTGTAGGTAACTGATGATGATTTAACGTTGAACTACACAAAGTGGCACCAAACATTATTTCGAAAGAATTTCGAAAAACTCCACTAACGCCAGAATCGAATCCAGGACTCTTTGTAGAGCTTCTGCATATTTCGGTGGATGCAGATGTATGCAGTGTATCGGACACAGCAGTCCGTCTCTCTAAAGCGCAGACGCGCTAACGTGTGCTACACCTTATGGACCTATCGGCTTCATCTTCCTTCGAACCAGCAGAATAGCCGGTAGGGTGCTCCTTACCGCTAACTGTACTCCAAGCCTGGCAAGGAAGGTAATGCTGTGGAAGCAGGGTCAACCGTCACGTTCGAACATTTTCGGGATTTTTGCGACCCCCTAGCTCTCGAGGGGGTCCAGTTGCGACCCCCTGTTTTTGTTAATAAGAGTGCTAGACATGAATCCGTTGCGCCAGAAAGCGTCTGCGCGTCGTCGCGTCGGCCTTGGAGCGCGGCAGGTATCACCCGGGCGCTGGAAGAACGGGACGCGGCGAAGAAAAAATTTTAGAGGGGAATAACTTTCTTGGGACGTATTTTTTTGACTTGTTGAGGTAGATTTTGATTGTGCCTGAGGTGCGCTTCCAGAAAACTACAAGGATTGCCTAACTCTCCGGAAAGTACTTCTGTTAGAAGTGGAAAACCCAAAATTCTAAGAAGGCGCACCTTCAACTTTGAAGGCCCATAAAATCTTTCGTATGCGACATTTTGGAAATCTGTAAAAAGTTTCAGAAACTTCAAATATTTCTCTAACAAAACAGTATAAAAAGTTTAGTGATTGTCCCCTTTTTCAAAAAATTGTCCCGTTCGAACATTTTTCGTGCAAAAGCGAGTTTTTGGGCTTTCAGCGACCATAACTCACTTCATTTTCATTTCTGTGATGCACTTTTTTCATGGGGTGAAAGAGCAGGATTTGCTCTTTGACATTTTTGAAGACGACGAGGGTTCTTCTTTCTTATTGTTTCACCGTTGTCTGGAAGAATCGTCCTCAGAAAATTAGGTCCCGAAGAACTTTAATTTCAGCCCCGAGAAGTCAAACCTTTCATAGGGATGCATTCAACTGTTCTTTATTCCTCAAGGAAAACACCGTAATTTGCCTAAAACTGTCTCTCTGTGCATAATTAATCGAATCTAATGCGGTCTGCACAAAGCAATTCTTGCCCTCGGATACGCCACGCACGCGCCTGTGGCTGGCAGTCCTCGAAATTGCGACCCCCTTCCGACCAAAATGCGACCCCTTCGTTCGAACAGTTCGAACGGACGGTTGACCCTGTTGGAAGTCCACCACTAACCAACTCTAAATACATCTAGTGTACAGTATGTTAAGGGTCTAGCTTGGAGAGCGGAAGTGCTAGGGCCCGACTAAGTACGCTTTTCATGTGCTGTTGTTTGTTGTGAAGTGGCCTTGGCGAAGGAGCCTTCGGCCCTTGGACAAGGGAAGTTTGGGCCGACGGTGGGTTTTTCTCCTGCGAGCTACCGCCCTCGCCCTCAAGCTCATTTGACTGGGTTAGGAGCCAGTGACGCCCTGGGAGCGGAGGCCGTGTTCCCGGGAAACATCCGTGAAGGACCGCTATGATGGTGTGAGTTGATAAGGACTACGATAGCCCTAAACCACTGCGGTGTATTGGAGGGCAAGGAGGGCCACTGCTTTCGAACCACGACAGGGTGGCGTATTTCTGCAGGAAAAGCGAGCACTTTTGTTGATATTCATCAAAACTCGTGATTTTACAAAAAGCTAATTCAGAAGAATGAAGTTTCAGGGTTAGAAAAGCTCATGAACAGGTCTTCAACCTTTATGTTGTTGATCCACTTATCGATTTCGTGGGAGGATTTGTCAGCTCGTTCAAGCCGCTTTACGGGAGCATCATCTTGTGTTGTTACCTGCAAATTAGCAGCAATTAATTACAGATTGCTAAAATCCTTCACAGTAATCACTTGCACCACTGCCGTAAACTTTTGGATAGCTGACAACAGTACGTTCGGGCCACTTAAATAGAAAACTTTCCGGAGTAATCCAACTTGGTAAGCTCATTCTAGTCTAAACCCGCAGTGATATATAGTGATAAGTAATCATAATTACAAACTATTCATAAATTGTTTAAAAAAATGGAGAGAACAATCTTCACGTCTCTGTTGGCACGCCGCAGTTGCATCGCAAGTATTGTCGGATCGCTTTGCTGAATTGCTGGTTCATCGAGCTGGATGAGTCCGATGTTGTCCTCAACCTAGATCAACGTCCATTGGAGTACGACTGTATTGGCATGAATAGGTCAGAAATTCGGAAACTGTTTCATAGTTAAGAAAGAAATTGCTGCAAATCCAGATGGGGATGTGAAAACAAGTAGGGAGTACAACGTGTGAAGTCATTTTCCAAAATACTCTAATGCCCAACGTGTACATAGGCTCCAACTCCATAGTCCAAAAATATATTCTATGTGGTTCATTGCTCACAAAAAACGATATCATCATCGAACCATCAAAATGTAACATTGCTAATTGCTTACATGTATTCGAGAGTAACTGGCGACAGATTCGGTTCGGAATCGTGGAATCTTCAATTTTTTTACGCGAAACTTTTATAAAAAATCGCATTTTTTTGCCAAGTCTTTCGATTTTATGGGAAATAACTTCCCACACCGTTTTCGTCAGTTGATCTTATGAATACTCTGGGAGGTTGAGGCAATCTCAATCTACTGGCCGAGCTGAGATTAGAATGAAGTTCCCAATCTTTCGACAGCCAGTGCATACATGTGGTTGTCTTCTACTTTACCCTTCGAGCGTCTCCTCTATAATTACAGAGTATTCCGCCTTACATAGCAATATGCAATCATTCCTTCCACGTGCAGATCTCATTCTTACTTTCTTTGTCGAGAATTATTTTAGCGTATTAGAAAAACCTAAATATTTTATACGCAATGTTTTCGATATTACAAAAAATAAAAGCGCCTACAGAACCACTCTGAAACTCGAAATCCTCAAAAAAAAATCCAGAAGTTTCTACAGGATACTACAAAATATCAAAAGCTGTTCCAATGACCGCTCCCAAACTCACTTCATCTGGACGGGGAATTTTGATCATCGCATCGATGTCTCCAATAGCTGGCAAGTAGTCCATGATAAACAGCTTCAGCAAGGGACGTGGGCGAATCTCTTCGGGTTGGTAGGCATTAACGAAAGACAGCAGTTGAAGCTCCTCTTCGTTAAAGTCATTGATGGTATTGCCGTCAGAGTCAGAATACTCTAAAGGAATGTTATCACAGTTGCTTTTTTAAGAGTAGGTAATATAGCGTTGTTTTTTTCGAAACCATTATCGGAAATGCGGCAAAATGCTCGTGCTTGAGATCATTTCCATTTTGGTTTTCTCTCTGGGAAGATGTATAATAAATGTTGGCTTTGCGCATGTCTGCTTGCACCATGCCTCTTTAGATTACGCGCCGAAAAGGATGTTGGCAGTTTGGAGTTAAGAGGTGGAGGTTACGATGAATAAGCAGCCTGCTAGACAAAGGCTAAACTGGTCAAAGGTGCAGTTATGAAAAAAAAAGAAAAAGGCCTGAAGTCCGAGAAACGACCCTTTTTCGCCTCTTGAATCCGATTTGGACAGGTCAGCAACCGAAGCGAGCTCGTTTGCACGTGTTAATTCCGAGTGCCGGTATCATGAAAACAATCATCATCCTTCGATTGATAGCACATTCTTTAGAAAGGTAAAAGGCACGGCTGCCCATGGAGAGCAAACGATGGCGATAGCAGTGTCAGCACCAGCAAGCTTCTATTAGCACTCAAACATTTGCAGGCGTACAGCGGCGCAGGCAGGGTCTGCAAAGGCTAGAGCCAGTCGTCAAGGAAGTGGGCGGGCAGCGCGAATGCGGCGCTAATGTGCCCCTGCTAGGCCGTTGGGGCATACTCTTCGGTGCAAAACGCGCATCGTCACTTTCTAAGGAGCCGCCTTCCTTTCCACAACCATTCCCCGCCTTCGACCTCCGGAATTATCGTGAAATCCTCCTTTACAAGCCCAAATATATTTTATCACTCCGAAAAAAGGAACTTAGAAAAGGTCCAAGGATCCAATTCCAAGCACCTTTTCTAGTTGACGATAGTTAGAGATTTATTGCGAACAATAAATGACACTAATGGAGTGAAGGTGAGTGGTGGCAAGAGGAGTCACTTCCCACTAGATGGTCTTCAGAGGAAATGTCACCAAGGCTATAAGTAAACCAAGCTGTCGGATTCAGCTAATCGGGATACATGTTTCTCAAAGGATCATAGGACAATATATCAACTGTCCACATGTCAAGAAGAGAACGCATTCGGGACAGCTCTCTACTTTTGAATTAAATTGAGTCAGAGTTAACCGTCGAGTTGCGCTGACTTCAAAATTCTGCACGAACCCTTTATATTACAGAGAGGGAGAGGGGGAAACTCAACACTAGCTCTATCAACACCGCCGTCCTTGAATGAGTGCCCTAAAACGATTCTTCCCCCCCCCCCCGCTCACCGCTTTCTGACCACCAATCCACTTCTAATTTTGAAGATCACAAATAAGATCCCTTTTATGACAACCAAGGCCAGAAAGACGGCTCCTTCCAGAATCACTAATACGTCTTTGTTCGCTTTTCAAATAGAATACTGGCGCCAGAAGAGACTGGCAATTCCCATCCAAGCTCTCCTTATTTACTGTCAATCTAATCCCACGACATGTAGTTTGTCATTCATTTATAATGATGTCACTTTCTGAACGCTCCTATCCAGGTTGCCTCCCTTCTGAATATCGACGAATGAGCCTTTGCTAAAAATACTTTATTCTCATGTTCATGTACGTGATGCTGAAATCCCTGGAGACTCAAATTTAAGCAGATGTTAGTTAATATAGAGTGATAAGCTATTCTTCAAACAATTACATACCCTGGCTGTCGCTGTCGCTGTTTTCTTCAAGGCGGCTGCTTCGTCGTATCATCTGTTGGAAAGGTAATGTCACTTTAGACATAATTAGTTCGTTGAGCGATCCCTTTATGGCACCTTCAACTGAGCAGTAATCATTTCAAAAGAAATAGCACAAGAAGGCATAATTATAGTTAAAATTTTGTAACCAAAATTTGACAGAGCTGGTGACAGCAGCACACCGCCTCCATTAAATGGCAAATCTAATGTGCACGTCTACGGCACAATGGATTGCTTCATAATCGATTTTAGGTTAGTCGAGTACACTCCGGGATGAAGTAATGGATCAAAGCGGTTCCACAGTGAGCAATACGACGTGCAGCTTTTTGGAGAATTTTTTTCCACAAAAAATGCTTGGCAAAAAGTAAGCCTGTCGTCAGGAAGGCAACCTTGATTAAAGGAATCCTTTCTGAAAAATTCTTTTCTAACATGAATGTGTCAGTTGTGATCACTGGAACAACACACAAAGTTTCACGCATGAAGATTCGGTTTCCTGAAGAGAAACGCTCAAAAACCACACTCTATGGACAGTCGAAGGTAGGTCGCGCGGAGCCAAAGGCGGGCATGGAAAGAAGTGTGCGCATTGGGCGGCCATGTATCAGGCGACGCATTGAAAAAATCGGGTTCAAGCTTTTGATCTTGGAGAATAGGGACAAAACAAAAAACAGAAGGAAAAGCACAAATAGAAACAAATAGAAACAAAAATCATGATTTTTTCGGGTAGGATTCCTTTCTAGGAATAGGGTTATAATTTAACAAACCCATTTACATCGCTAAAAAATTTAACTAATTTCTTAAACGTACTCTTGTGCTCCTCAGATTTTGGCGCCGTTGGTGGGGTGTATGCCGGTGGTGAAGAAGGCGGATAAGGGATCGTTGAGGGTAAATCTAAACGACATTTCTAAATTCACTACCTGCGAACAACATCACATCTCCATAGCACGGGGTTGTACTTCAGCAAGGACGAGCAGTATCTCCGTGCTCAGAATTTTAGGATTTAGGTCACTCCACAGAATTCTGTTACAATTTCCTCTTGGTCGGCCAGCTCAGCAAGACATCGGATGTGCCAGATGTAGCCGAAGTACAACCCAACCTCTCCAGCTATATGCTAAAGGTAGCTGTTCCGTACTACGCACTTAGAGCTTCTTCGTATTCCTCCGGTACATCAGAAGGTTCGACGTCCTGGAACAAGATAATCATCATCGCCATCACTCTAAGGGATTTACAAGTATATAACCTCACCTTTTCTTCTTCCGACTGCCCTGGCTGGGTTCCAGAGAATCGTACTGATCTGACACCTAAAACAGTTTCGCTATTCCGCTTACGTGTAGTGCTCAGCCGTAGTGAATAATGGCGTTTGCGCTGAAGCAAATGCACAATGTGACACCATCTGACCAATCGGTACATGCCGCTTTCCAAAGTAGTCTATGTACAGTAGCGGTCAAAAGTTTGGAAACTTTTTTATTTTTGATCTAGTGTAGCCAATAGACAATGAAATTGTCCCAAATTCACATATTATATACAGAATCAAGTGTAGATTACGACAAGCAACATGATTTTTTGAAAACGAGATCGCTTTTGAAAAATACGAATTTTTATAAGAAATGGCGCGTCAAAAGTTTGGAAACTTCTCAATTCCAAAGCGAATTCGGCAAAATAGCTCTCGAATCTACATGATAAATTAGTTATTCGATGAGTAGCTGTGAATTTCTATGTCAGCGTCGTTTTTATTGACATGGAGTTGATTATAAAATAATTTTAGGACTTTTAAGTCGAACCCTGCACACTGTGAACTAAATCACATTGTTTGGTGGGATTCTTAACTGGAATGTGGGTTGAGCGACATGCCAGTTCTTCCGTGGGATGTAGAACTCAATTAGACTTTAGATCTTGACTTGGTCGCTTCATAACAGCTTCTTTTTCTGGGTTTAGGAAGGCGGCAGTGAGGAGGTAGGCCTGCATCGGGTCATTCGCGACGGCTCGTGTTGATAGAGCTAGTGTTGAGTTTCCCCCTCTCCCTCTCTGTAATATAAAAGGTTCGTGCATTCTCAATTTTGAAGTCAGCGCAACTCGACGGTTAACTCTGACTCAATTTAATTCAAAAGTAGAGAGCTGTCCCGAATGCGTTCTCTTCTTGACATGTGGACAGTTGATATATTGTCCTATGATCCTTTGAGAAAACATGTATCCCGATTAGCTGAATCGACAGCTTTTTACAACCTTGCTGAATTCTGCTGAGACCATCTAGGGAGGTCCTCCCCACCACTACCTACTCCGATAGTCATGATTGTCGCAATAAACTCTAACTATCTGCAACTAGAAAAGCACGCTGGAATCGTCCTGGACCTGCTAATCTTTTTTCTGAGTAAAATAATTTGGCTGTAAAGGAGGGATTTCACGTAATGCGGAAGGGTCCGAAGGCGGGAATGGTGAAAAAGCGGCCCTGAAAAAGGACGAATGCGCTTTTGCACGAAGAGTAGCCCCAACATCCTAGCAGGGCACATTAGCGCCCATGCGCGGCCGCCCACTTCCTTAGACGACTGGCTCAGCCTTTGCAGACCCGCTGCGCCGCGTACGCTCTCAAAGTTGATGCTAATAGAGCTCTGTGCTGACACTGCTACGCCATATGGCTCTCCAGCAGTCCGGTACCTTTCTAAAGAATTTACTATCAATCGAAGAGATGATGTTTCATATAGCGGCACTCGAATTAACACTTGCAAACTAGCTACACTTCGGTTCGAACCGTCAATCGATTCAAGAGGCGAAAAAGTGAGTCGTTCTCTGATTCAGCCTTTTTCTTTTTCATACTACTTTGACCAGTTACCTTTGCTAGCAGTACTGATTATTCATCGCCCAAACCCACCCCTTACTCAAATCAAAAATCCTTTCGGCGCGTAATCAAAAGGCATTGGTGAATCAGACATGCGCAAACCAACATTTTTTTAGAACTTCGTATAGCATACATTATACGAAGTTATACGAAAGCACGAGCATTTTGCCGCATTTCCGATAATGGTTTCGAAAAAAACAACGCTATATTACCTACTCTTAAAAAAGCAACTGTGATAACATTCCTTTAGAGTATTCTGACCTCTGACGGCAATACCATCAATGACTTTAACGAAGAGGAGCTTCAACTGCTGTCTTTCGTTAATGCCTACCACCCAATAGATCCCCACGTCCCTTTCAGAAGCTTTTATGCAGATACTGCAGTTTGCGAGACACGTGCGATGTCAAAATTCCCGGCCAGATAAGTATTGGCGGTTCATGAACACTTTGATATTTTGTATTAATCTGTAGAAACTTCTGCAAAAATTTGTATATTTGGAGGATTAATTATCATAGGTCTGTAGCCCTTTTATTTTTGAAACGAAAACATTGCGTATAAAATATTTATTTTTCTAATACGCTAAAATAATTCTCGACAAAGAAAGTAAGAATGAGATCTGCACGTGGAAGGAATGATTGCATATTGCTATGTAAGGCGGAATACTCTGTAATTATACGTCGACGCTCGAAGGGTAAAGTAGAAGACAACCACAGAGCACTGCTGTCTAAAGATTGGGAACTTCATTTAACTCAGCTCGCCAGTAAGATTTAATTGCCGTCAAACCTCCCAAGTACATAAATCAAAACGACGAAAACGTGTGAAGTTCCCATAAAATCGAAAGACTCGAAAAAATTGCATTGTATAAAGTCGCGAAAAAATAAATCCCACGATTCGAAGCCAATCGTCCAGTACTCCGAAATACATGAAGCAATACAATGTACAGTATTTCGATGAGAATCGTTGGAGCAATGACACATAGAATATATTTGACTATAGTGGAGACTATGTACCTTGGCAGTAAGTTAGTGGAAAATTGACTTACACGCTGTACTACGTTCACATCCATCTGATTACAGCAATTCTCTTAACTAGAAACAGTCGAATTTCTACCTATCATGCCATATACAGTCGTACTCAATGGACGTTGATCTAGGTTGAGGACAACATCGGACTCATCCAGCTCGATGAACCAGCAATTCAGCAAAGCGATCCGACAATACTTGCGATGCAACTGCGGCGTGCCAACAGAGACGTGAAGATTGTTCTCTCCATTTTTTTAACAATTTATAATATTGTAATTATGATTACTTATCACTATATATCACTGCGGGTTTAGACTAGAATGAGCTTACCAAGTTGGATTACTCCGGAAAGTTTTCTATTTAAGTGGCCCGAACGTACTGTTGTCAGCTATCCAAAAGTTTACGGCAGTAAGACTGATACTTGAAGGATTTTAGCAATCTGTAATTAATTGCTGCTAATTTGCAGGTAACAACACAAGATGATGCTCCCGTAAAGCGGCTTGAACGAGCTGACAAATCCTCCCACGAAATCGATAAGTGGATCAACAACATAAAGGTTGAAGACCGTAATAACTTTCTAACCCTGAAACTCCATTCTGCTAACTAGCATTGTAAAATCACAAGTTAAGATGAATATCAACAAAAGGCTCGCTTCCTGCAGAAATACGCACCTCGTGGTTCAAAGCAGTACGCCTCCTGCCCTTCAATACACCGCAATGTTAGCGCTATCAGCCTTTATCACACTCAACACCTCATACGGCCCACGTGTTGCCAGAACACTGCCTCGCCCCAGGGCGCACGCGCCCTAACAGTCAAATGACTGAGGGCGAGGGCGGTAGCTCGCAGGAGAAAAACCCACCGTGGGCCCAAACATCCTTGTCCAAGGGCCGAAGGCTCCTTCGCCAAGGCCACTTCACAACAAACAACAGCACATGAAAAGCGTACTTAGTCGGGCCCACTCCGCTCTCAAGTAGACCCTAATACTTACACTAGATATTAGAGTTTATTGGCGGACTCACCAGGGTCAACCGTCCGTTCGAACTGTTCGAACGAAGGGGTCGCATTTTGGTCGGAAGGGGGTCGCAATTTCGAGGACTGCCAGCCACAGGCGCGTGCGTGGCGTATCCGAGGGCAAGAATTGTTTGTGCAGACCGCATTAGATTCGATTTATTATGCACAGAGAGACAGTTTTAGGCAAATTACGGCGTTTTCTTGAGAAAAAAACAGCTGAATGCATCTCTATGAAAGGTTTGACTTCTCGGGCTGAAGTTGAACTTCTTCGGGGACCTACTTTTCTGAGGACGGTTCTTCCAGACAATGATGAAACAAATTAAGAAGAAGAACCTCGTCGTCTTCAAAAATGTCTTCGCCTCTTTCCAAAATGCTCTCTTGAAGGAAGTTATTATTGCTCAAAGCTCGAAAACTCGCATGTGCTGCTCAAAAACCTATGGGATCCAAATGTTCGAACGTGGGATTTTCTCGAAAAAATGAACTTTGAAAAACGTTTCAGAGCTTAGGAAATCAGAATCCTCCTTTCACCCGGAATTGGTGCATCAGAAATGAAAATGAAGTGAGTTATGCCCGCTGAAAGCTTAAAAACTCGCAATTTCAAAAAAAGTGTTCGAAGGGGGCGACTTTTTGAAAAAGAGGACAATCGTCAAACTTTTTATACTGTTTTGTTAGAGGAACATTTGAAGTTTCAGAAACTTTTTACAATTCCAAAATTGTCGCATGACGAAGTGTATGGGCTCAAAGTGAAAAGTGCGCCCTCTTAAATTGAGGTTCCGCATTCTAACAGAATGCTTTCGCGGGATAGCAATGTAGTTTTCTGGAAGCGCACCTCAGGCACAATCAAAATCTACCTCAACAAGTCAAAAAAATACGTCCCAAGAAAGTTATTCCCCTCTGAATTTTTTCTTCGCCGCGTCCCGTTCTTCCAGCGCCCGGTTGATACCTACCGCGCTCCAAGGCCGACGCGACGACGCGCAGACGCTTTCTGGGGCAACGGATTCATGTCTAGCAGTCTTATTAACAAAACAGGGGAGGTCGCAACTGACCCTTTAACTAGGGTGTCGCACAAAATCCCAAAGATCGACGACGTTGACCTGCTCCACAGGCATTACCTCCTCCAGGCCATGAGGACAGTTAGCGTATGAATAAGGAGAGGGACGAAGCACCCCTACGTGGCTATTCTGTTCTGTCCAAAGAAGTCATGAGCACATTTAGGTCATAAGCAATGTGAGAGCAAAGGTAAAAGAAAATTTTTATCCGTATTCTCCGGAATCGCAGCGGTGTTAAATAAGATACCCATTGGAAAAAAACTGATCTTAGCGCCGACCTCCTTGCATGTGAATTTTCTTTGTGAAACTGTTACAGCCTATATTACGTGCGCATTTAGAGAGCGAGGAATTATGCTGTCCTAAGGCATTAACATAAGCAAATTACATGCATTTACATGCTGCCACTCCAGCCGAACGTTATGCAAGACACTGAAGCTTACAAAGAATCCTGGATTCGAATATTGAGGAGTAGGATCATCATAATGATATTAGTGAGGGAGAGCAATTTAAAAGTTTCAAACTTTTGACGCAACATTTCTAGTTTTTGATAAAAATTCCTCTCGAATAATCAAGTTTAGTGCACACTGGTTCATGAACAGATTTACTTAAACGAGTTTCTTTAAATGCGAATTAATGGCCTTTCATCGGTACATTCTGCGTACAAACTTTGCACTGATGTTTAGGATTGGTGATCGTGTAATAGTCTAAATCTTATGAAAAAACAGAATATTCGTGTAGGTTTCGGCCCTATGACGCACATAACTGGGCCAAGTCATCAATGGAAAAAATTAAAGTTCAGAATATTAGTCAGTATTAAAATCGTCTCAGATGTTGATATCGCTTTTTAACCTGTCTAGCTAGTTTATCCCTCAGTCTACCGTTCTTCATAGCCTCGTCTTAGTCCAGATACACAAAATGAGGCGCTAATCAACACTTAACATTTCTTGAGGAATTGCATGAGAAACTCGACCCCACCGATTCCAAGACCGCGGAAACATTTCGGATAGTAATGCTCAGCGGTAATAAGGGTCCTCAAGAAGACTCATCTCATAGTACCGATTATCGAAAGCTACATGGCACAGTGAATTTCATCACCGAATTGACACGGCCGGAAGAGCGAAAGTATCCCGTCAAGTAATGTAGTACGAGAAGCTATTTTGAATGACGCTCACGCCTTATAATGGTCTGCATGTTTTACCCAGTCAATTCATACCTAAGCCTATACAAACTCCACTTAAACTAGATCAATCGTATCGAAAGTCAGTTCCACAAACTGACCTGCAAAATTCAATCAGATAGGTCACTTGTCTGCTTGTATATTGTAGAAGATAAAATTGCATGATACAACTCATTTTCAGACGCCCACGGTATGCTCGCAAAGCCTTAAAAATCGTCCACGAGTTCGTGATCCGAAGATGATTAACCAGAGGCGAAGATTACAGATTATCGAATACCGCCTGGGTCCGTGCCGCAAATTCTCTCTCAATTTCTCAAAAGAGAATAGCCTCGTATTCAGTCGCTCACTGGCTGCTCTCCCTGCAGAGACGTAGGGAGCTCCTTCGATAAAAACAAGTACGATCACCCTCTTTCGTGGGGAAAGAAAAGGCGAATGTACAGAATATGATCGTATAATTGGTAGATGAATTTACAAGGAAAAATTCAGTACAGGTAATGTGGTCGCTGGCTAAGAACATACTTGCAGGTCTGTCAGCTGGCGTCAACATAGTCGCTGGTTGTCCATTACCAACGCTGCTTTCTGAATGCAAAGGAATATCGTCGTCTGATTCGGACTGTGGTGGGACAACAACCTCTTCGGGATAATAAATACCCTGAAACTGCTGTTTTACTGTCTATTATTGAGAAAAACTTGATTCAGTGCATAGATGATTATTAGAACGGCTGCAAAGACACTTGTGCAGTAACATGAAGAGACTGAAGAAAGCACGCTCGTGTAAGACTTGAAATAATCAGATTTTCCAAGCTACTCGTTTCAAGACCTTAGAATGAATGGATCAATCTCTCAAACAATTAAAGCCCAAATCTCAATATGACGGTCTAGTTGATTCAACAGATCACGCTCACTCTCTAACCAGGGTAACTGACATCTGTGCGACTATGAATGACGAAAAAGATAGCAATAAAAATCACATTTAGTTAGGTGCTTCAGGAATACAGTGTTATTCTGAGTTCCCCATCCCAAGTAGCTGTTTCAAGTATGCCCGACATGGGTGCCCGTAGGTGCCAACTCCTCGTCAGAAATGAACAGATCTCTCCATACTACTAATGCATAGCTGCTGGTGGGAATAGCACTACAGTCGGTAAGAAAATAATAGGTACTCTGTCAGTTTTACAGCACAAACTGTTTCGCTGTCCTCCACAAGAATTGCTCCTCTATCACGTCATATTTAGTAGTAAGACCCCTAGAGGGCGTGTTTTGCGGGTAGAGAAATGCCGCTTTTTTACAAGTTGAAACCGTAAACATCCTATTCTTCGTAATCTTTCTACGAACGGATAACAACGGCAATTGAGTATCAGCTATGCTGAAGAGCAAGCTGAGTTGAATGGAGAGTGAAAATGTCACTATCACAATAGCGTCCCTACGAGAACAATCGCGGTTTAAAAGCCATACAATCTACCGTACCTGATCCTCTTCTAGTGCACGTATTTGGCTGTGCTCATCTTCTGATGAATCGTCACTGATAGGATCGCTGTTGACGGGATGAAGGGGTGGTGGCGACTTCATCAAGCCATCTTAGCAACGGGCATCAGTGCATTACGCCTCCGTATTGTTACCACGACAACGAGATCGTTATATGCAGCATATTTTGTCCACATAGCCATGAAAGGCTAATGAATGCACAGCTTATTCACAGAACGCCCTAAATTTCTGAACAATATTGCTATCAAATGTTAAATTCGAAAGGTGTAGTAACGAAAGACGTGCATGCCACGCACACAATCCAAAGAACGAATCTCGGCCAGGCCATTCAAGCCATCCACCTTTCCGAATACGATTAGGAGACACTGCAGTTGTCTGAAAATGCTAAGCACTGAACAGTACATCACCCTCTCCCCCCCCCCGCCTTCTCTCCACCTCAAGTCATTACAGTATAGGCCAAATCGCTCCCAAATCAAATTACAATTACAATTACAATTCTTCATGAAACTATTGTTGTATTTGGGTCATCCCAAATCAGTATGATTAACGCGGAATGCTTAATACTTATCGAGTTCTCCGTACGTGACGGTCCAGGAAAACAATAATCCCAGTCGGTAAACGGGCACCTGATCTGTGCGAGCCTAGGCCTGTTGGCCGACCACTCTCCTGTCAGCATTGCAAACATTGACGACTTTTCTGAGTACCGCATCCTTTATAGGAGCTTCACGTTTTGTTGTATGAATGGTTCATCAACTACCACTCTTATCTCGAATGACGCACGTAATGTATGCACGCTCAAGCTGCCAAATGATGCAAGGTAAATGATTCGTGCCAGCTTGTTAGGCTTGGGAATGCAAAGATGAAAATTATCAAATAAACAATGACGAT